ACTTTTTCACCATTGAATTTCATTTTGTTAGATAGCACCCATTGTTCAAGTCTGTCAAGATTCTTCTGTATCTTAAGCCTATCTTCTGGAGTGTTGTCCATTCTTGCCAGCTTGGTTACCTTTACTGAATTGAAATCTCAGCACCAAGCCATTCCTTTCAAAGGCTGAACCTTACTTTGGATAGAACGCTAAATTCCTCCAAAGCTATGTTTTTCAGTAAGAATCCACTTCCAGAAAGCCAAGTACTTTATACCCATATCCAACATTTGAAGGAAACTAATATTCTTTCTCTTTTGTGATTTCCCAGTTAAAAACTTGGGTGAGTGGGTGGCAAAGCATAATTTTCTTCTTCTGTTATCCTTTGATGAAGCTGCTTCCACAAGCGTCTGAGAAGCAATGTGGAACTACCAAAGCAACTGTGTGGGTGCTAATTGCTTTCAGAAATGCAGAAGATGTGATGTCAAACATTTTTTTGAAAGACCTTTTCTTTCCTGACTCATGAAATATTACGTATGAAATAGGATTGTGGCATTTCTGATGGGTCATATTACAAGACTGTACCGGAATCTCATGTGTTGGAGAAATAGGGCTTACACGGAAGAGGTCTCAGGCTTGCAAATCAGAGTTGGTATTCAGCAGGTTCTGACCAGTTCTGGAGAACCGGTAACGGAAATTTTGAGTAGTTTGGAGAACTGGCAAACATCACTTCTGCCTCCCCCTCTCCCCCATTCTATTCTCTGCTTCCAGAGTCCCAGTTGATTAGGAGGGAATGGGGATTTTGCAGTTTCCTTCCCATGGAACGGAGAAGCAATGGCAATTTTACAGTATCCTTCCCCTGGAGCGAGGAGGGAATGAAAATTTATAGTATCCTTCTCCTGGAGTGGGGAGGGAATGGAGATTTTACAGTATCCTTCCCCTGGAGTGGGGAGGGAATGGGGATATTGCAGTTTCCTTCCCCTGCAGCAGGGAGGGAATGAAGATTTTACAGAATCCTTCCCCTGCCATGCCCACCAAGCCACGCCCACAGAACAGGTAGTAAAAAAAAAATTGAATCACAACACTGTTGCAAAAAGATCATTGCCCATCTATCTGACTTGTAGATATCAACTACCCCACAAATATTTAACTATGGAAGAACTCTAGTTTAAAAATAGAAAAAATGTTCTATTGAAAACCGGGTGGAATCTGGAATTAATTTAAAATCAATTACTTTGCAATGATTGCTGTAAGGTTTTTTCCCCTAGACTTCAGAATATTGCCAACCTAACTCTCCACAGTGACAATACAATCAACTCAAGCACGTCTCAAACTTCAGTATGAACCAACAGCTTTGGCTGCTTCTAAGAAACCAGAGGTGCTTTCATTCTGATGGAATTAACATCTAAAATTAAATCCACATCATATTTGTATCAAAAACTGTGCAAAACATTTGGATATACAAAACATTTATGTTAAAGATAGTCACAGAGGCTTTGGGAAGCGTTTGCATGTGCACTATGCGTGTGTGCACGCGCACCATGCTCGTGTATGTGGGTGATGCCGGTTGGAACAGAATTCGGAACCCACCACTAATTATTCCCCATTGTAAGGACTGAATTTGAGACATGTAAATTATCTAATTTAAAAGCAGGCTTGTTTGAGAATGAAATGATCTAACCAAACTTATTTTACAGGATTATTTTCAGCAAAGTAATTGCAAAAATTAGCTGCTGGAAATTCAAGCTCTAATGTTTGCTTTTAAATATAGCAGAGAAAGAAAAATTTAATTCTTTCCTCTGAAGGAATGATAAGGTAAAGGTTCCCCCTACACATGGGTGCTACTCGCTTCTGGCTCTAGGGGGCAGTGCTCATCTCCGTTTTTAAGCCGAAGAGCCAGCACTGTCCGAAGATGTCTCCGTGGTCATGTGACCGGCATGGCTAAACACCGAAGGTGCACGGAACACTGTTATTTTTCCACCAAAGTTGTTTCCTATTTTTCTACTTGAATTTTTATGTGCTTTCGAAGTGCTAGGTTGGCAGAAGCTGGGACAAGTAACGGGCGCTCACTCCACTATGCAGCACTAATGATTCAAACTGCCAACCTTCTGATCGACAAGCTCAGCATCTTAGCCAGTGAGCCACTGCGTCTAGAGAAGTCTGGTGAAGTCTAGTTTAGTCTAGTGAAAATAAGGACTAGGTGTGACATGATGGCAATATTCCAATATTTGCTGCCACAAAGAAGAGGGGGGGGGAGTTCAACCTATTCTCCAAAGCATCTGAGGGCAGAGCAAGAAGCAATAGGTGGAAGCTTATCCAGGCGAGATCCAGAGCTAAGGAGAAATTTCCTAACAGTGAGAACAATTAACCAGTCGAACAACGTGCCTCTTAAAAGTTGTGGGTGCTTCATCACGAGAGGGTTTTAAGAAGAGACTGGACAGTCACTTGTAAGGATCCCCTAACTGAGAATGGGGATGGACTAGAAGACCTACCAGGTCTCTTCCAATTTGGTTATTTTTCTCACCGCAAGAATGGCTAAAACCAAACCTTAATTCAATGTGCTTTGGGAACCAGGCATTTACTAACAAATATTTTGAAGAAAAAAAAGCATGTGAGGGGGCAACCCCTGACATTTTTTTCCAATTTAGAATTAATAAGTTCTGGACATAAGCAACCCTAGCACAGAGGATGGAGACAAATGATCCTAATAGGCAAATCAGAATAGCTTTTAGAAACCGCTGTTCTTTCTTCTTTTCCCTTGGCCCAAAAGGAATTTCCCAGTATTTAAGACTATGTGCCTTCAGTATAATTTTAAGATATATTTACATAGCTTTCTATTTCCAAAGTAAAAGTAGAAAAAAATAAAGAAATGAAAAAAAAAGAAAAATATCAAAAAGAGAAACAAAAATAAATGTTTGAAGAAGTGACTTCTTATCTTCTTTGCAGCAGTGCAAACACAGAAATTATCATTTCCTCCCTCCCAAATTAGAAATGTCATGTTTCCCCCAAAATAAGACAGGTCCCCTTATTTTGGGGAAAATAAGGTCTTACCTTCTTTTGACCCCCGAAATAAGCACTTGGCTTTATTTTTGGGGAGGTCTTATTATTTTTGAGGTGAAGGAGGCGGTGAGCGTAATCACCTCATGGCTGCTGTTGTGTTGCGCATCACTGGGCCTGCTGCTCTTTTTCCGGCAGCCATTAGCATGGCAGAAGGGGTGCAGTGGCTAGGGTTGGGGGAGCAACTGTTAGGTAAGGGCATGTGGGGTGCATGGGGCATGTTCCCTCCTCCCTTTCCCCCCCCTCCAGCCTCACCTCCAGCCTCACCTTCTCACCTCGTGTTGTTTGCACAGCAAGCAACCAGAGGAAATGGTGGGGACAAGCTACCATGCGTTTAAATATTTTCAGTGAGGACTTATTATCCAGGGAGGTCTTATTTTGGGGGAAATGGGGTATTTAGTTCCCTTCTCCCGATAAACATTTTTAACTAATAAACCCTGAAATCATCAGTTCATGTTTATCCATTTCCAGCAAAAACTCCACAAGGGTTTCCACTCTGTTTTAAAAGTATTTGTTGTTTCCTCCTTCATCAAATCAATCAGTTTAGCCATTTCTCCAAGGACTGCCATCTTTACAATCCATTCCTCCATGATAGGTATTTCTGCATTCTCCCATCTCCTTGCCTTGCTGCAGTTGCCCTATATAAAGCCAATAATCCAGCAGCCTTTTCTAGTTATCTGTCCATAAGTCCTAACCTATTTCCCACATTGCATGCTTGATGCATACAACAAAAGTCCAGTTGCATCTGATTAATATTTAAAATTATCTGCTTCACCATACAGTATATCTCTATTTCACATTTCCAACAGTTTTGAAAGTCTTTTTAGATAATTTCTGTAGTGCCATACATCAATGGTACATCATTTTATAAAACGTCCATTTTAAATTGTAAGACAGCGTGATTTTAACATTTGCACAATAATCCTCAATGCAGATATTGAGCAGGACTTGTAAAAAAAACTCTCCAAAAAAAACCCCCATCTTATTTGGTGTGTCGGGTATCTGTTTGGAAGCCCATTCTCTCTTGCAAGCTACTAAGCCAACATCCTTTGACATCCCAAGAAGATTTAATGTTTTGCCTTCTTTTCAAAATCAATATTTGAAATTCCCATTCAAGAATGTATTTGGCTTTGCTCCTTAAAGAAAATAGAAATATTCACATGTTTTTTCAATGTCCTTTTCAAAAGTAAGGTGTGTTTAAATGGTGAGATGTGTGGAATTTATGAAGCCTCTTTTGGTCTTAAGAGTCATGCAAGATTGGATGAGGAGTTTGCTTGTCTCATTTCTAGCAGCTCAGCAAATTTTGTTGAAAGATTGCCATTTCTTTCAATTGGCATTGCTCCAAGAAGATTGTGTAGCTATCTTGATTATTTGTTTTCATTATATGTGTGTGTAGCAGAAGTGATATTCAGCCAGTTTCCACCAGTTTGCCTGAACTGGTAGCTGAAATCGCAGGTGGGTCCGCCCCAGCTCTATGCCATCTTATTTAGGCACGTTTTTGAATCCAGGCACATGCACGGAGGGCACATGAGCAAAGCTCATTTGCAGAAGGCCAGGCGCATACGTGGAGGGGGTGCTCACACCCATGTACGCAAAGCGGGCGTGTGTACGCGCGGTGGACCAGTGGTAACAAAATGTGAAGCCCACCGCTGGTGTGAAGCTATAATAATTCTTTTCATTTCCTGTTCATCCAGACAACGTGCACAATTATTTGGTGGTGTTGCTAATTTACCTTTTAGAAGTTAATTTAACATATTTTTATAGTGGATTGTAGGTCACCTTGAGAATCAGAGCCATCACACATGCAATAGATAAAATGTGATCATCTGGTTGCAGACACATCTCTTGTTTTCAAGTGCAATAGAGACATTCTTAGAGGAGGACTAAAAGAAATTGTATTCTCATATTTATTCTAAGACTATACCAGATGTTTAATATTCATTATATATCTTTTGTTTTAATTAAAGGGGCAGAGGACCACTGAAGAATACATCAGATGTGATTAATGCAGCTAAAATGATCTCAGAGTCAGGATCTAGGATGGATGTTCTTGCAAGACTCATTTCTAATCAGGTAAGATAACAGGGAGAGCATAACATGTGTTGTGTTACAACTGACCCCATGCTCCAAATACTATTGTATTTTTTACATTCTTTGTCAGGTGCCTATTTTCTTTGGCAAGCAGCTTGCTAAGAGTTTACTACAGCTGTTGCAGAATGAATTATTAAACCAGAGCCCACATGCACCAGTTAATTATTTGCCACCATTCTAAAATTATCTTGGTAACTTGAATTTTAAACCCCATAATTGGCTTCATAATAAAACCTCTTGCTTCATGGGAATGCTATCTTATTTTTTCAAACAAGAGGGTTTATTAAAGAATTTTTTAAAAAAATTAAAATGCTATATTTTTGTGTAGTGTAGCAAGAATTAAATGCCCTTTTATAATCAGGCTTTGCTAAGCACAAATCCCTGCACATGCGTACACAGACCCTTGCATGCGCCCCAGACCCCCATGAATGCACGCACTGCCCCCCCAAACACACCCCACCCTCATGCATGCTTGGCAGAGACCCGATGATCAGTTGGCCGGCAGGAGGTGCTCACACATGCACGGCAGAGCTGAACTGGGGTGACAGCTCACGTGCCCACAGAGAGGGCGTTGCGTGCCACCTGTGGCATGCGTGTCATAGGTTCACCATCACAGGTTTATAAAGTAGAAACAAGAGTTTTGCTGTCTATTTTACTTTTCTGCCTTGTGACTCCAAGATTGTTTTTGACCCTGAAATGTGAAAATGTGCATTACCAAAGCAACAATCAGATAAATGAATATTGAATCCAGGCCAAGAGAATGCCTTAGGAAAATGTCTCGGCTCCCCTTTTCCGAATTCACATGAAGATAAACAGCAGAGCAAGGAAGCTCATTCATACTTGCAAGATTAGGTTACTATAACCATTCTAACAAAAGTAGCTTTCGGTCTGCACAGTCTGTTTCTTAATCTAGTCTACCTGTTTGGGCGGACAAAACATAAAGAGTGTGATAAGGGATAAAAAGCAAAGCAGAAGAAAGGTTAGCAGTATTGATAGTTTGTATTGTATATGTTTTCTGACAAGTTGAAGCATTGTTCCTTCGGAGATTTAGCCCTTCTGTTAACTGAATTGTGTCTTTGATGCTTTTGGATTTCTTTGGTTGTTGTTGACTTTGGTTATCCATATACAGTACATTTTAGTGCATATTTTTGGACTTGAGTAAATCCCATCCCTGGAGTGGATAGGGTGATGTTGTTGTTGTTAGTTGTGAAGTTGTGTCCAGCCCATCGCGACCCCATGGACAACATTCCTCCAGGCCTTCCTGTCCTCTATCATCCTCTGGAGTCTATTTAAGCTCACTCTGACTACTTCAGTGACTCCATCCAGCCACCTCATTCTCTGTCGTCCCCTTCTTTTTCTTTTGCCCTCAATCGTCCCCAGCATTAGGCTCTTCTCCAGTGAGTTCTTCCTTCTCATTAGGTGGCCAAAGTATTTGAGCTTCCTCTTCAGGATCTGCCCTTCTAAAGAGCAGTCGGCGTTGATCTCCTCTNCCACACAGAGACATATAAACACACACACACACACACAAGGGGGGAGGGGGGAAGGGCTATATGTAGGATTCTTTTCTGAAAATCAAGGAAACATAGATAAGTATCTTTACTTTCCCTGTTGGGGTGCAAATAAATTACTCGTGACACAGCATATTAATTCAATGGAGTGTATTACTAAAAAATATGTACAAAGTTTTAGTGATTTAAATAAGTTTAATTCTGCATAATTAGTAGTGAAGAAAAATGAAGGAAGCAATTGCACAAATATGATTTTTCTCAAATCATGCCGCATGTCTCTTTATTCTCATCAGGGGTCTTTCAGAGGATCATAATATTTTGAGATTCCTCCTCTCTAGGAAAAGTGTATGTAAAGCTCTGAATTTTGGATCTCAGTGTGTTCCAAATTATTCTGCCACAACCTTTAGAAAATATGGCAGCTCATTACCTAATCCTGTAAAAAAGTTCAGATTGCTAATTCTGCTTCAATGATGCGCATTAAAAGGAAGGCAAATCTTGATCCAAAGGAAAATAATATAAACAAAATTATAATGATTTTAGAAGTGCAATCCAAATATGAAGTAATCTTTCCTATCTCTCAAATCAGGGGCGTCAAACTGGTGACCCGCAGGCCAGATGTGTCACACGCTGGCCATGCTCACCTCCGGTTTAGCGAAGGAGGGGGGAGTCCCAAAACATCACATGATGACAATGTAATGCCATAACGTGTCTTAAATCCTTTTACAGGCAGTGTTCCACTTACAACCATTCATTCAGTAACCAAAGTTACAACAGCACGGAAAAAAGTAATATGACTGTTGCAGCATTCCCACGCTGATGTGTTTAAAATTGGGTGCTTGGCCACCTGTATATAGTTACAACAGTTGCAGTATCCCAGGGTCATGTGATCCCCATTTAGCCTCTTCCCAGTCAGTTCCCGACAATAGAGGAGAAGCCAGATTCCCTTAACAACTGCATGATTCACTTAACAAGTGCAGTGATTCCCTTAACAACCATGACAAAAATGACCATAAAACAGGGAAAAACTCACAACCAATGTTCCCTCTAAGCTACGCAGCTGCGCAGCTGTGCATGTAACAAGAAAACTCCACGCAGCAGTTTCCAACTGCCACACAGTGTTTTTTAATGTCTTACAATATGACTTAAAATATTCCCCCTCCCTCCCTCCTCTCTCTGCACTGAACTCTCTCCTCCAGCGGGTGAAGTCAAGGTGACGCTGAAGAAGGGAGAATTCCCATTGGTCCTCTAGGGCTTTGTCGGTTCCTGGGAAAACACGATTTGCTGGTTGTAGCCTGCATTTCTCTGCACATCCCATGTTTCTCATGCATTGCGTCGTCTAAAGCCCCGTTCTGGGCTTTCTGCGATCCCTTCACTTTGTGGAGAGAGGGAAGCAGCATGGAGTTGGACTGCCTGAGCCAAAGGGGTCCACGGGATCTTGAGACTTGATTTTTGAGCAGTACTAATCCATTCCACTCTTTCCTTTCCCTTTCTGTCCTTCTATCTTCCTTTCCTTTTCTTTTTCCTTTCCTTTCTCTTTTCCTTTCCTTTCTCTTTTCCTTTCCT